CTTTTCGCACAAGGCTGGACACAGACTGTTTTCTATCAAGGCTGGAAGTTAAACAGAAACCTGGTCCCTTTGAGCTTAGTCCATGGCAAAACTCCACTTACAAGGCAACAGTATCAGCCTCTAAATACTTAATAGCATATAGAAGGACAGTGTGAAATCGCAGAACCACTGGGACACATTTCAAATGGAAAATGTGAACTCAAGGGAAGAATGAAATCAAGAAGCACAAAAATTTAGCTCTTGATTTATCCAAATCTGACAGCAGTACTTCATGTAACAAGAAACAGATCAGCTTGGCAAAAAGTTTTCCTTTTTTAAAGGAGGTTTAGTTTTAATCTGTGATTGTGATAAATTGTCCATGGTCAAGAACCTTGCACTGATGTAAAAAAATGGTATTACTTGACACCCTAGTAACACAGACTTTCCATTGTGTAACAGTGCTGTTCTATGTTCCCAGTTTTTTCACATCTGCTTACCAATGTACTCTATATAATTTAGATGGGGTTTTTTAAGTTGAAAACACAGAGTTGTTAGCCCAAATGGCTTTCAGACATGCCTTGAGCATACTTTTAATGTCCAGCTCCTTTTCATTTCGAAAGTTCTTGCAGTTTAGCAACTTCATTCGCACGAACAGACTTCCAAGTTTGCTAGGAACTTGGCTGCAAAGGCTCTATGAACAAATTTAGAGTTCTGCCAATATATATAGGTGCAACATCAAGACCTAAGCATTCAGACACTCTACCTGAGCCTCTTCATAGATCCGTGTAACACTGTTCTGCAAAAATGGACCTGTCTTATGCAGGTGATGCGTATAGAGAGTGCATCAACTTGTTTTGGAGGTAAAAGTTGCTTTTTCACTACTGTTTATTTCTTCAAGACAGGGCAAGTAAGAAAAAGTAGGTTTCTATGACTCTCATTGAAAGTATGAGTAAATCTACACTAACTACAATCCAAAGGCTGGGTTTTGGTTACTATAGGCCTTCCTAACCTACCTTTACTTTAGCTAGCCTAAATATGAACAACAGGTTTAGTTTTAAGCTGGCCTATTACAGTTAGGCACTATTGTGGTTAAATATTCAGAAAACGCATCTTTTGAGCTGTGGTCCTAGGAACAGGTCATTCAGGGATGATCTAAATTTAAACCTATTAATTCAGAATAGATTCGTAAAACTGTATTAAAGCCGTCTTCCTTTACACTTCTGTTAAGAAGTACAAACCCAGAAATTTAAACAGGCAAGCGGAAGCCGAAACTGAATGAGTTACCACTGAGATGTACCACATGACTACCTTCTTGCTCTTGTTGCAAACTGGAATAAAACGTAGTTCAAAGTGCCATGAAAATGGCTTCACCCAAGTTTTTGGGTTTTTTTGCAATTTATACTTTGTTGTGAGTGTCTGTATAGGAAACAAATAGTTCAGTACTGTGCAACTATTCAAAATGCAGAATTAATTCTGCAACTAAGTGATAGCATTAGCAACTAATGCAATTTTACAAAATTAACAGGCCTGCTTATTGAATGGTCCAGTGCACTGGGTAAGGACTTCTGAGTAGAAACATGGAAGGGATTCACTTTGGGACAACTTTCAACTTACAATTTGGAACAACTGCTGTGATGTGACAGATCCTCGTTACCATCAACAGAGGTATGTAATGTGTCTGTTTGCGCCTGTAGACATTTGCTGAAAGCAGTCTGGATAATCAAACCTACGTGAAGGTGTAGTTTAGGAGGTTTCACTACGAGAGATGAACTTTTTGAACAAAAGCACATGTTGGTTTTTGTAAAGGCGAACGTTTGGAAAAACCTCTTGCCAAAAAAAAGCGCAATGGTTACTATACAACAATCGGATGAAATCCCAGAATACTGATTTTTTGCCACTTTTCAGAGTGGAACTGCAATTAAAAGGGACAAACCTCAGCTCTTCTCAGTGTTCTATATAGTAAGTATAGAATTTACAGCTGTTTGACTTTTTGGTTGAATTAGGTGAATTTTAAAATAACTTGCATATATTTTTCACCATATTTATTACAGGCAAGATGCAGTAACTTCAGTGTTACTACAAGTCTGCTTTTGCTTCTTGCTTTTGTACATTTGCACAATGTAGTAACTACTGGTTTTCACTGCTTCAAGGTAAATCTAAAGTAACATAGTAAAGAAGTAAAATAGTTCATACTTTCATGAAATGTGAAGAGCAGGTTAGAAAAATTTTAAATATCTAGAACTGTCTTTTTACTCCCACTCCAAATCTGGTAGCAACTTTGCATGTAAATCAATGAATCGAAATTACGACGAATGAAAAAAAAACACTTCCAATACATTTTAGAATATTATTCAAGCTGGAAATGGATACATGAAATCAATAATCACAAGATTATTCCATTCCTACTGGCCTCAAAGGACCTGCAAGTGTTTTAAATTAATAATTAATTTTGTTTTTAATCTGAACAGGTTAGCTGTGTAATATTGCTGACTTTCCTATTTTAAATGTCTGTGGTGATTTATGCATAAAGAGACTGAACTCATGAATCAAAACATCAAATTTACTTTGATGAACTTCATATCCTTTCATTTTTAACACTGCTTCTTGTTTCCATACCAGAAAGTTGTTATATTTGTTACCAGTCCAGACACTGAGTCATTCTTGTTTAAACCAGACACTAGGCGCTCTGTGTAATTTCTCTCTCCCCTTCAGAGTTTTTGGACTGAGAGGAATATTGTAATGCCAGGTGCCTCCCCTAGCTCCATTTCTAAAGGTATTACTGTAAAAACACACAGAGGTGCTAAATGCTGCCAAGCGGCAATGGAAATTCTCTGAGCTCTGGTTATTTCAGATGCAGCTAAGTTAGGGAATACCACCTGATTCTGACAATATGTGCAGACTTACGGTTTCTGGTTAGAATGCTTCATCTTCTTCTCTCCAAAAACCTCTCTCCTGACTCTTTATGATGATGCAGAGATAGTCATATGGCCTATTTCATATGAGCTAACCTGGCACTTAAAGGTAAGGTTTAAAGCTCAAGTTTATCTCTAAATTTTATTTTCTTTTTTTCTGAAAACTTTTGTGGAACTTTGAACAGAGCTGAAATTCAAGGATTTAGATATTGTTCATATTTTGTGTTAAAAAAACCTGTGTGTGATACAGGTTTTAAATGTGGGTGGCACCAGAAACTCGATTGCTCTTCGTTTTGCAAATAAATAACCCCTGAACACACTCTTATCATATGGCCACTTTGAACAATGCCTGTTTCAAAAACATCTGTTTGATTCCAAAGCAGAAAGTTGAATTTATTTTCAAAGGGAATCAGCTTCCTAACTCACTTCTATTGGTTGTGTAATATAACTTGGCTACCTCTGTATAGATGCTTAGACTCACACGCTTCCATTGCAGTGGTGCTTTAGAAACTATAGATGTAAAGAAGTTTGGGAATCTTCCAAATTTGTCATTTTTCAGTAATTCTAGTTTTTACCACTAGATGGCTTCCCAGGATAGTGGATATAGATCCAGACCTCCTGAATTAATATGTGGGCTTGGATTCATTTTGGCACATTCTTAATGATATATACAGTCATAAAAACGACATTCTTTCCAGCTCAACTGTGAAGACAGCAATGGGAGGTTTGACATCCCTGAACATCTTTTGACATCCTCAAAGCTTTGCGTATTAGGTTATTTCTGATTGCTGCCACAGCTCCTAACTGTGCATGAACAGCTCTCAGTTCAAATGTGCAGTTAGATCCTCCTCAGAAATGCTTAATCAGTGCAACTGAAAACATAACTTACCTGCCTAATGCTTAACAGTGCAAACAACCAAGTTGGGGGACCCAGTTACAATACACTTTGCCCTTTCTCCTGTTACAACATAGTTTAAAGTGCTATGGAGACCTTCTTGTGTTGCAACTATGCCCTCGTAACTGGACAAAAAAGTCTTGGAAAAGGAGAGAAAAAAACCCCACCCTTTGTTGTGGGAAAGTGAGTCTCCCTCCTTCATTCAGAGCCTGCCTTTTTTATTGCCCTGCTACTAAATCACCAGTTTTCAGCAATGCAAGCATCTTCCAGCTTGGAAAATCCATGAGTTGTCACGTTGTCCATAAAAACATTGGCCCAATGGTAATAGATTTTGATGATTATCAGCCTCGGGTGGATTCAGCCTGGCAATCTAGGGCTGAAAGAAGTTTTCCCGTCCGCACCAGCTTATCTTGGGCGAGCAGTTCTCTGCCAGAGCTCTGTGAGGCAGAGATGGCTCCCTTGAACTCAGCCTTAACCCTGACTGTTCCTGGAACTGCTTTTTCCTGGGCTCAAGTCAGACCACAGCACCTTCTTTCTGGTGTGGGTACGTTAGGGAGGAGGCAGGGGTTGCCTGGCTCGGTTGCAGTGTACTTCAGTTACAGCTGGGAGCCCAACGTGGCATGCAGCAAGCCCCGACTTGCACGCTGCGGCTCAGAAGCGAGCGTCCGCCTCAGCCTGCCTGCATGTGTGAGTTTATGTGCGGTGGCTCCAAGATAGCTCTGGGGGAGGGGAGAGCAAAGCCAGCCACTCACAGAAACAGTAGTGAAATCTCCCCGACACTTTAACTGTCAATCAGGCTTAATGGGGTATAAAAACTCCCCAGCGCCACGGCCGTGATAGGCAGAGAGAGCAATAGGGAGAAATGAGTGAGAGCCAGAGCTGAAATAGGGTACGGCATAATTCCTGCTCTGTGATCACAGATACTCCAAGTGAAAAAAACAGGAGAGGGGGCAGAGAGAGGCGGTTATCAGCTCAACCTTTGCAACCGGCTCAGGACAGAACGTCTATAGATATTTATAGATATTAAAACAAAACCAACAACCTTTCCCTGAATAGAGCCTTTCTTAAAAAGAAGGTCCTGGCAATTCTGTCTTATTTAAGCAATTTCCTGAGTCTAAGAATAGAAATGAGCTGCCTGGAAGGCACTGCAGGCTGAAATTTGGAGACATAGGCTGCTTTCTTCTATTTTTCCAAGTATAAAAACCTTCCATTTGGATACTGGATTTTTATGTCGGTCTTTGAAGCGGAGGGATGTATGGTTACTTTTAATTTTACTTTTTTCTCTCTTTTAATTTAAAAAAACTGTCTTCCAGTTAAAAAGCAAGGAAACCGTTTTACCTGCATGTGACAATCCCAGAGGACACCGATCAAGAAACAGGGGAGTGACTTGGTCTTCTGCACTACTTTACTCCTACCCCAATTTTTTTAGGGGGAGAGAAGGATTTTTCCAGTCCAAGAATCTCTTGCCCCCAAGTTTTGGAAGGGGGTTGAAGACTTGTCACCCATCTGGGGGTGCATGAAGGGTATTGGTTTTCTTTCTCCGTTAGCTTGGTTTTGTGAAGGGTTGGAAGAGAATTTTGCCTTCCTGACTTGCCTGGAACGAGAGGATGATTTGGAAGTGGCTGGGCGCTTTGCTGCTTTTCCCCGTGCAGATGGTTTATTTGGTGGTGAAAGCTGCCGTGTGCATGGTGCTGCCGCCCAAGCTCCGAGACCTCTCCGGGGAGAATGTGCTCATCACCGGAGGGGGCAGAGGCATCGGCCGCCATCTGGCCCGGGAGTTTGCTAAACGAGGAGCCAGAAAGGTGAGCGTCGGCACGAAGGGGAGGGGGGGGGAGGACGCTCCCACCTGCAGCTCTCCTGGGGAGTCCCCCGACTCGGAGACTTAAAAGCCTTTTCCCTCACCTGTAGGTGGGATTGATGGGATCACTTCGAAAAGGGGAGAGGGGAGAAGGGGCACTCATTTTGCAAAACCCTGGTGTGCTGAGCCATTACGTTGACCTACATTTCAGAAGTTGCCCACTCCTCCTTTCCTGCATCCTGTCTCTCCCCATCTCATCCCAGAAAATGTGAAGGTGAGAAAGGGGCCCCCTCGTGAATTCTCCTCTGCTGACAAAGGAGAGGTTTTCACTCCAGCCGAGGTTTCCTGTGGCAGGGAGAGGAGAGCTATGTGATTCCCACGCGTGAAGCTAGTGCTCACTTGCACTGCTGTTTACTAGCCTGCTTCCTGGCAATCCTGGTTGCTGGGACTGTGTACGAACGGAGAGGGGGGCAGCTGGCTGCCGGCTCCAGCCTTTCAGGCTGAGCACATCTTTAGCTCTCCTTAGGCACAGCCAGACTGCTGCTGCCACGCGTGTCACCCCAGAAGAGAGGCGCTTGACTCGGAAAGGGGCAAATGGTGTGTGCAGGAGGGCTCTGGCTCTCGGTCCTAATAATGCATTCTCTCGGGAAGGTGGGGAGAAGAGTTCAGTTTCACCCCGATGGTTTTCTATTTGTGAAATTAATTTCTTGTGCTTCCTGAAGTCCCTTGTATTTTGCTTTTTGCCAGCCCAGAGCTGTTCAAAGGGAAGATGACTGAGACCCCAGCAAGGAAGAAAAGCACAACTTGAGTAGGAGCTGTGAGACTGTTTGAACGTTTCCTTTAGGAAAGAGGGAAGGGGAGAGAGGCTGAGAGAGGTCTGTCTGCACAACAGCCTAGAAATGCCAGTGGTGTGTCCATTCTCTAGCTCAGGAACTGGTGGTTTACCTTGAAACTTTGTGTTTTCATAAGTACAGGTGTCTCCATATGTGTGAATCAATCAGGAATACAAATATATACAGAATACACACACCCTGAAATGAGGCTTAAGATTTAAAGTTCCATCTCCCCCTTTGTGGGTAATGAAAGGGAGGAATTGTGAAATTAGACGGCTACATAAATACTTCTCGGTGTGAGAGAGGATGAATGAGAGTAAATAGAGAATAAAGAAGAAGAAAAATACAGAACGAGAGAATATTTAAAGAAAAATTTGTGTTTAGTTTGGAATAGTGTTTTGCCACTTCCTTACACATGCTCTGCAGTTTTCTATGTGTGGTATAGAGCTATTCCGGCATACAACTTTGAGGTGTAAAATATGTCAGCATTGAACTTTGATGTTTGTATATGCTTGTGTTTAAACATCATGTTGAGATTTACAAATTCTTGGAGACAGAGCAAACAAGTTGACTGACCTTTGGACCCAAGCAATTTGCTGAAAGTGTATTTATATTATCTGTTAGAACACCAGGCTTCATTATTTATTTATTTAGTCCGGCCGGTTGCTATGCTAAGCTCTGGTATTAAAGTACCACCATTTCTACAGCTAATTCAAGGGCTGCTTAGCTGCAGTTCAGCTAGAAGCTGAACAATGGCAGTCAGTCCTAATGAACCAGGTGACATTGGCCAAAAGGAGAGGGAGCTATTTAACATACAGAGCTGAGGATGAAATTACTGTAAAGAGATACAGACTGTAGTTAATTTGTATGTCTTATCTATAAAATCTCTATGTATCTTAGAAGGAAAGAAAAACTGAGAATAATTGTTGGGAACCTTTGTACTTGTCTCATATGATGTTGTGAAATGCTGTGTGGTTGCTAGTTATTGTTTAGAACTTTGGGGTATTTTACCTCATGGGGTTTTTTTCATGTCTGTCATCAAGGTGTTTCAGTTTTTGCTTTTACTGAATTTGAACTAGATTCTTCTTTCAGTTATATCATGGCTATCCAGTAAGTCAAATATGGCACTCAGCAAGTTTTGATCCTCTCTGGTAGTGGCACTGCCTTTCTGCCTTTGGTAGTGGCACATTTTCCATGCAACACTGAAGTAGACTTATCCTTTTCTGCCTTAACATTTTTAATGACAGTTTTACCTAGATGTGGTAGTTTCCACTCCCTTTGCTCTGAGATTTCATTTCTTTCCTGACTTCTGTGCTCAACCCTAACTTTGTGAATTTAATGCAGTTTTCATGTAGAATGCAAGACCTCTGTTTGGCACTACTCTTCGATTTTATGCTTTGCCTTAGACAGTCAAAAAGAAATGAAAAAGACTTGAAGTGGCTAGCAAGTAATCTTTCAATAAGGCTTGTGAAAATTAACTATTCTATTTTTCAGTTGTCTTCTTATGCAGTTAACTGTTTTATATGCAAAGCTTGAATTATTGATCATAATTAATAATTTATAACAGATTCTGATTATCAGATGGTGTAGTCACAGTATTCCAAGTTTAGAAAAACCTTCCACCAAAGGCGTGAAATTCTGAGGCCAAGCACAGTGTTACATAGAGGTGAACGGAAACAGTAACACAGATTCAGATTCCAATAGTGGGTGTGCAGTGTATCTTGGAAAAGTCATCACAGCGCTTGCGCACACAGACATAGTGGCGGAGTTTTGGAGGTAGGCGGCGATATATAACCATATTTTTGAGATTAGAATCTTCTGAAAGATAGGTTAGTTGAAACTGTTAGCATATGAAATTTCCTCTGATAATTAGACTGGATTGGATTTCATCTTACACTCTATCTTTATTTTCAGAGGCTGGTTTTGTTAATCACAAATGAGACGTATCTGAGCAGTTTTCACCTAAGATGACAAGTGTTGTATCTCACTAAGATTACGAATTGTCACGTCTGCAACTTTTTTACTGTAGAATTTGATCTTGCATTTAAAGCTATGAAGATGGCAAGAAATAAATCAAAAAAGGGCTTATGCAAATGGAAATAGAGTGTCTTCTGCTTAATAGATGAGTACGGAGACTGAAATTCTCAATCCAACAGAATGGAATTCTCTTTGGCATGATCATGTAAATCCATCCTGATTCCCATTCTCTACCCCCATTCTTTTAAGTCCATTGCTCTGCCATTGTGCCTCAAGTATGACTTGGACAGATAAATGTCTAGGAGACACTTCCTTCTAAGGTGATGTTTCTTTTCTCATGGTTGTTTGTTGGCCTTCTGATGAAATGGCCAATAAGGGGACAAAGCTGTGTCAGTTGTATTTCCAGTTACAGAAGTGTGTATCTTCTAGTTTTTTCAATTAAGACTACCAGCAAATTTTAGGCAAAGAGAGACTTTATAATCATTAGATCATCCCTGTTCAGGTGTGTACTAAGAGGTCAAAGGATCCATACTCCATTTTTACTTTTGGGTAGAAGTTTTCAAAAACTACTTGGTCATGGGAGGCATTGTGTATTTAAATGCTTCCTGTAGCACTTCTGGAAAAAAACAAAAGCATATAAATTTGCTGTATGCAGAGAAAGAGTGGTTTACAGATGATACGGGACATGTTAGTGTTATTATGAGGGATGAATAGCATTGAATTTTCTCCGGAAGTACTCAAGTATTGTAATTCAACTTTCATGCTGTTCCCCAGAGATGTGTCCAGATTCAGAAGTGCCGGCTGAGGGGTTACTTTGCTGCTGCTGAATTGCTGGAGAAACATACTTTGTTGCTTTTGCTTCCTTTTTGGTTGCTTGCAAAATTCAAAATTTTCACTATTGTTGGCTTTAACTCTTGAGAATTTTGACTACACCTTAGAAGTAGTTGACCAATGGAGCATCGCCTCTGCCTCAGTCTCACACATTGGTAGCTTTGTTAAGGCTCTTAGCTTTTGATATTCTGTGGTTAGCCAAAATGGCAGAGTACATCTGTGTTAATGAAAAGGGGGAAGGAGATATTTTTAGGAGTTTATGATTTAATGCCTATGAAATAAAAATCCACTTCCAAAGCCTAATGGTGTTTTGCGAAGAATATATTGTATAATCAAGTTAATATTGGGAAGACTGGCCCCTTTGAACAATATTTCTTGTGTGGAAGAACAGCCCTCTACAGATGTGAGTAGTCGGGGGGATGTAGCGGCTGAATGGGTTCATTCACTGGTGGTTAGAGTTGGAAAATGCTTCTGGTTTCCTCTAAGCCATTTGCTTTTCCTACAGCATTTTCTATTATAGTGCCCTTGCCAGAGAGTTGTCAGCCCTGACTTTGATCATCTCCAGTGATGAAGTTTTGATTCGTGTGTCTTTTGTATGTCATTTGTATGTCTTGCTCTTTGTTAGGTTTTCTTTTAGGGCATTTCCTTGATGTCTAAAAATTTTCGTTGTGATTTTAACTTACTTTGTTCACAGATTATTTAATCCGAGGTCTGACTGAACAGGAAAGAGATGCTTGGTTCTTAGGCATTCTGGATTATTAAATGTCACCAAAGCCTAACAAAAGTAACTGAAACAGATACAATTATATGATAGAAACAGATTCCCCAACTCTAGTATGTATTTTAGTATTCAAGGTTATCTGACAGTGACTTTGGAAGAGTTTCTTAGCCTTTCCTGTTGGGAGACTGGTCAAAAGCCATTGATTTTCATTAGGTTTTTTATTTACACTGAGGGCAGTATGGATCTTCAGTAGCATATCTATAAGGGATCTTATACAGCAGTGCTTTTCTATTGCTCCTTTGTGATAATTTCTGTGATCTCAGTTTCTTAAAAGTATGCCTATTTTGTCCTCCTATTTTGCTTTCCCCCACCCCCTCCAGCTGTGATAAGTTTGCCTTTTTGGTAACTGTAGCTATTGATGAATGAACAAGAGGGCTTCTAGGGAATCAGGGGTGTTTTGGCATGAAAGATGTCTCCAAAATACCAAATGGGTTAGGAGCAGCCCTGGCCTTGTGTTAGTGTGCCAGTACTGCAGAGAAGCGTTGAAGAATTCCTATTAACCTTGTTGAGAGTTCTTCACATTGATCCCTGTGCAAGCAATGACCTCATAAACACACTGAAAGATCTCTCCTTTCACTGATT